GCATTCTGCCTCCAAGCCAAGCCCTTAACCACTGTGCCCCAGGCCCGAGTTGTACTTTGTAATCCTGATGTGTCCTGCATAATTGAGGAAGTTGAGTCAGCAGTGACACCAACTAGAAAATGTGTTGCAGGAGGTTAATCGGATTTGTTTTAAAAGCAGGCTCCTTCTAGTTCTGCATATATATTGCTCTACTACAATTGATATTACGTTTGCTTAGCTCTATATCTTCTCTAAAACCTTGATCACACCAAGTGCTCTTCATCAGCCACGATCCTGATGATGATTGTGACCTCTTCACCCCCTCGCAAAGATTGAGTTGGGCTCGTATGGAGTTATTTTTATCTGGAGAAGATAATACCTTGTAAGGAGACTCTTGGAAGACCTTAGAATTGATTTATCCTAGTGGTTCAAACTGGTTAATAAGGAGTCCTCTTTTCAAATAAAATTTTGTGTGTATATAAAACAGGAAAAATCTGGCGAAGGCAGTGTCTGTGCTTGGAGGTCTCTACTCTAATTCTGGGGCTTTGAAGGCATATTTAATGAAAAGTTTGAACGAAGTAGGCTCTTTTCTTGACTCTTACCCTGATTCCTGGCCAGTGGACTACTGGGAAGTATAGGTAATTTGTCCCTTGTCTATTAGATCATGATTTCCATGTGGGTGGGTACCCCATCTCAGTATCATTTGGTACTGGAGAACCAAATGCAATGCTTTTGGTATGGCGGGCATTCAACAAATTTGTTCCGGATTAAATGGCATTGAATAGTTGCTTAGAAGATAGAATTGGGATTAGATTCAGTCAGGCAAATGTCAGTCAACCATCCTTTTCTTCTGGGCCACACGCAGAACCGACCTCCAGTGTGTTCATTCTGCTTAAAGGAAGTGCGTGTAACCCATTTCTGAGCATGTGAGGCTTGTGAATGGGTTTCTGATGGGATTTGTACAGAGTTCTTACGGGGCACCTTCATATAGCAATTTCACAGTTGATTGCACATGTTTACTCTAAATATTTTGTATCTTCTCTTCTGGTATTAATTTTTGCTGCTTTTTATTCCTTGTGTTGGAAAAGAAGTCAGTAACATAGGCTTGGGCAGGGAACCTTTTTTCTGCCAAGGGCCGTTTGGATATTTATAACACCATTCGAGGGCCATTCAAAATGATCCGCTTAAAAATTAGCCTGCCATATTTGGTCAAACGTTTACTTAACTTACCCCTGATGCCTCGGCAGGGCCAGACCAAAGGATTTCGCAGCCATATACGGCTCGAGGGCTAGACGTTTTCCACCCCTGCAATAAGCGATACTTCATAAAACGCAACATGGAGCCTGGGCTTGCTTTGGTGTGTGTGCATGTAAATACAGAGCTTTCACTCAGTTGTTGCACGAGTTCAGATCAGATCTGATTCCATGTAACAGAAAAACTCAAGTAAGGTGGCTTAAACCGGGTGAAAGTTGATTGTTTTCTCGTGTTCAGGAAGCCTAGAGAGGTGGTCAGGCAGTGGCTGATAAGCTGCCCCCTGTTGTGCATGGTTTGCCTTCCTACTCACTTCGGGCCCAAGGTGCCTGCTCCCGTTGATCACATGGCATTGTCTTTTGTTGTAGGAACACGTTCTGGAGGTTGCACGCCACTTTTGCTCAGATCCATTGGGCTACATGGGGTTGTATCGTTACACCTAGTTGCAAGGGCGGTTCAGAAATTGCGACCTTTTGTTTCCAGGCATCCATATGCTGTTCTAATAGTTGGAGAATCTATTACTGAGAATGGAAGAAGAGTGGCTGGTGTGTGTGCGTGTCTGTCTGTGTGTGTCCAGTTAACCGTTGCTGCTTTCATTATCAATGGTTAGATGGATGTGTGCTTCGTTTTCCTCCCCTAAATTCACTAAAAGATTACTTTGACTCTTTCAGCTAAAATAGTGCTTGTAACCACACATGTGCTTTAAAATAATGA